GGGGGAGGTTAGGTGTGTGAGTGTGCTTTTCTTTCATACAACGTTCCAAACGAGTGAAACATGTTCCAAGATCAATCAGTCAACAACATTATCAATGTATATATTTCATTTGATTGTTCCACAAGGCGATCTAGTCAAAAGTAAATAGCAAAATGTTTCTGTTAAAGTTGAAGACTTCAAATTAGAAACTGGTATTTAAATCAACCAGGAAACCTATTTTCGATGGCAAACTTTACATGGAATTGTCAATGTGGTGGAGTTTGTTTTTTTAAAGTTGCTTTTGTCTTCATGATAGATAAGTACACTAGTGAAGCAATTTTCTACTGTGTGTCAAAAGCAAACCGGAAATAATTTGTTCTTGCTTTACTTCGCTCTGTGATTGGTGCAGAAATCTCGCGCCACTCTCAACCACTTAGATACAAAACTAAATCCAATCACGACGTGGTCGCTCTCGTTTTGCCGCGCTTCGAGTAGGTTGCTTGTTTCTAGCTTGAGTTTTCATTGGTTAATAATAATGTCAACATTTGCTCTGTTTAGTTGTTGTCATGACGTTGGTCCTGGTTTTTTTGACACGCCATTGAAACTGCTCCGATATAAATCTTCTATTCAGCAAAGCAATTAAACATTCAGCGAAGCATATGACCATAGATAATACAACTCGATAACTTCTGAGTATCTGTAATGTCTTACTCATGAATTTGACGAAAGCAACCAATATTGTGATTGAATGTTGTTAATAAGTATCATTGTGATTAAATACACACACAAAAAATAACAATAAAACAATTGGAAAAAGCCTATAGGTATATAAAAAATATACTGGCGAATTGAGTAGTACCTGAAATATCTCAGTTTAGTCAAAAATACAAAATGCTGAATCAGTAAAAATCTACAAAACTCAAGTAGGTCATTTTTACCACACCCTCTAAGATGTAATAAAAATTCAGGGAGGCGTATCTATAAAAGTACTACTAACTGATTGTCAAGCAATCAAAATGCCCTCCTTTAGACTAAAACCTTCGAACCTGACGAAAGTCTCTTTTCTTTTTGGTAATCAGCTAAAAAATTTACTTTTAACGCGAAATAAAATCTACCCCCTCATTAAATTGGTTAGGATAATTTTTGGTTACAAATGACTAGTGTTTTTGATTACCTAAACCTGGGTACATGTATAGGCAAGTAATCTAACAAAGTATAAATACGTAGGGTTAGAGAGGAATTTCCCATCATCCCCCCCTGCTTAGGGTGAGGGGCGTCAGCTTTCATTGGCTAATATTTGCAACAACTAACACTTTTAAATGATTATTACCTACTGACCTCGAAAGAAATGCCGAAGAAAATGCATAGAAATGACTCTGGAAATTTAATGACCGAGTAAACTAGATACTAAAACACTACTCATCTGGTGTCAGAACAGTTTTTGAGGATGCTTATATCTTTAAAAAATCTGAGAAATATCTACCCAAAAATACCACTCTGTTTCCAACGCTATGACTGTGAAAAATTTACGTTCTCATGATTTCGTCAACAAGTACAATACCTCTCGCGTGTATGTTAGCTTTGCATGAGAATTTTTTACAAGCATTTACGCGTTGTAAGACGCATATATACGCGAATGAGTGTGCGCATATACGGGTATTAGGAGCATTTCATGTGTGTTTGTCACTCATTTAACATGGTTTTTGTAAAATTGCGTTACATTATTGTGTAAAAGAAAGAACGTTTTGGTTTTTAAAAGAGACGAGTCGACAACGGAAAAGAAACGCGTGTTTCTTAAGAGGTTCAGAAAGTACTGACCACTTTTCGCACATGTAATGTGATTGAATGTTTTCTAATCAGTAGTTTTAAAAGTAGCAGTAGCTAAGAATAACAGCTGCTTCGAATGCTGAGACCTTTCCTTTGGCAGTTAAGCGTGCATTCTTTGGAAATTTGATTGATATTTTTGATACGTTTGGACACTTATCTCAACGTCTCCACACTTGTTCAAGTCTTGCGGTGGTTGTAATTGGCTTTGAACCTCCGGGGCTTCATTGACAATCATCGCCATTCCTTCGAGCTGGTGCACCTCTATGTGGCAGTGAAGAAACCAGTAGCCTGGATTATCGGAGAGGAAATTGATAACAACGTATCCTCCCGCAGGGAGCATAACTGTGTCCTTTCTGATCGTATGGGAATCTATAGAAAAGCGCTTGTTGTCTTGAGCCCACCGTGGTCTGGTACATCTCTCCTTGACGCAATTTTCTTTTTTGCAGTTAACATCATCGCAGTATATATCACTGTTGTGTTTAGTGATAAAACCAGTTGTTGGGTCATATTCTGGATATCCGACGTGAACAACATGAAATGTGTGGCCATGAAGGTGAATTGGATGAGCATTGTGATAAGCACCAATTGCTGAAAACACGAGTTGAATGGTTTCCTGATGTGGAATGGTTATCACTTGTACACACGAGCATTCAGGTGTTGATGGATTGCATTTGGCATTCAGGTCACAAATATTGTCCTTTTTTTGAAACTCTTCATTTTGGGTTTGAGGAGGAAAGGAGGGAAGAATGAAATTGCGCCCATTCACTGCACTAGTTTGAGAGTCACCCTCGAAATTGAAGTTGATGAAATGTCGACACTTTGGACATTGCCAGTGGGTTTTAGGGTTTGCGTTCGGAAGCTCCGTATGTGGAGTCGGCTCAAGTAAACGCAACTCTTGAATATTAAGGCAGGTAATATGGTAAAGTGGATGGAAGTTCTTAAATGGGCAATTTATTGCTTTGCATGGATCGTTGCGGGAGCAATGTCGTCGAGGAGACTTTTGTTTTATATCTTCATATCTTGTCGACGGTACATTAACATTCGAGTCAGGTGAGTCTCCATTCCGTTGGTAGTGCAAAATAGCTTCTGCCACATGTCCTAATGACTTGTATGGGGGCCCGTTACAACTTCGATCAATTTCCAGGGTCTCTGCACGCATCCAGTAGTCTTTTATTGTGTTTGTTGCTTCGAGTAAAAAGTCAAACCTCTCTCCCGTGTGGATGATGATGTAATCAACGTTTTCTACAGGCTGAATCCAGTAGCCGTCAGTGCCCACCACAGTCAGCTTGTGACCATCAACGGAAAATTTGTAAGCGTACAGATTTTGGGCTCCAATGAGCCGGAAGCGATATGTCTTCCCGGCCTGAACAGTGAATATACTCAGTCTTGTTTTGATGTATGGAATATCATCATGCCTGCCTTTGCCATTTATAATTCCAGAAAAATATGGGACAGGTCCAACCTCTCCTTCTTCATAACTACGAGTGGATTCATACCGTCGATGTAAATCATCTTTAGTTGGCACCTCGCCTAGCGGCTTTCCTTGATAAAATCCCAAGCTAGAGTGAATCTGTGTGAACAGGTCCAAGGATGCCTCATGTTGCCAGTCTAGAAGCGTTAAGGTGTGCTGATCTGGAAGGTCTTCAAAGGCGTGATGCCTATTGAGTTTCTTTCGGATCCGTGTCATTTTGTCACGACTTTCTTTTACTACAAGCCCACCAAAGAAACCATCTGTCCTTTGTGCGCCACTGTGAGAGTGGTACCAAAACGTGCCAGCAGGTTCAGCTTTGTACACGTATGTAAAGGTAGATGAGGGTCCTATCTGGCATTGAGTCACTTGCCCCACACCATCCATCCAAGGTGTTCCTCTCTGATGCATCCCATGCCAATGAATTGAAATGCCCTCAGTTGTGAGATTGTTGTGAACATGAACCTCAACCATTTGCCCCTCGTGGACAATCAAGGTAGGTCCAGGAATTAGTCCATTGACAGCTATTGCCAAACGGTACGTTTTACCGTCAACAAACTGGGGATTAGTGCACTTGGCGTTGTCCTGTGTTGAACATGTTCTGCCATCCTGGAGTGGCGTAGGTGACCCATCGTCACGGAAATAATAAATCACTCCTTGGGACCCTCGCATGGCTACTCCTGTGGGTTCATCCACTGATAACTTTTGATAGCTGGTGAAGGTTCGAATTTCGTCAATTTCAAGGTTAAATTTACAAACTTGTGCGTGTTCCATGCATTCGCACGTTGGATTTCCGTATTCACAGTTAAGAGTCTCTTGATGTACCCAATTTAGTTTGATTTCTCTGAAATGGCGCCCTCCAAGCCATTTGTTGAGGTTTGGATCACTTGTCAAATCCATGTACTGCTCCACACCAGTTTTAGCAGAGGTGCGAATGGATGATATGTACCAATGGTGGTTGCTAGTAGATTTTAGGTGGATTTCTCTAACGCTAGATAACGACACGCACTTTGTGGTTCTAAACCGGTTAACAAAGTTCAGGTCTCGCACGTAGGATTCCCCTTTTCTCATAGGTCCTTCAAGTTGGGCCTGAAATTGTTGGTTGTTTGATAAAGTGAGAACTACCCAGTGACTTTGATGCTTACTGTAGGAAAATGAAGAGTCAGCTTGATGCATTGTCCCCGTCACTGCATTTACACGTACATAGGTGATACAAGATCCTGCGACAGCATAAGTAAGGAGGAGCTTTTTGGCGTTGTATGGGTAAAGGTGTTCTTCATCGTTGTCCACCCACATACTAAAGCCTGGATCAGTGGTCAGCTTAGTGTAGATTTTGTTCCATCCTGCGGTGTAGGTGTCAATAGATTCAACGTACCATCCATCTCCCCCACTAGCCTCGAGATAAACACTGTCTATGTCTCTACGGGTGCAGCTGAGATGCCGTGTGAAATCAGCGTTGGCGTACAATTCAATAAAGTATTCAGAACCTTGGTATTTGTCGTATCTTAGCTCTGCACGATACTCCTCGCCATTCTTTAGAACGATCAACAGTTGTGGATTTGCACCATATTTCTTCCTTTGACCTTCTCCGGAACGCAGCGGGTCGTTCCGACCAGTCTTTGCTATAACCTTTACAATTTGAATGTACTCTATAAAGAAAGAATATACGGTATTTGGTTGTGTAGTTAAACAAGCAGGAACTTGGTGTTTTGTCGAAATAAGATACCGAAAGTTGACATTTGGAAGAAAATTTCAAGGGTAAGTTTTTAATTAAAAGAAACCATAGTGCTATGTCGGTGGGGGTATTCACAAGATACCCCCACCCCACCCCCAGCTGAGGGAAAAGGTCCTGGGAACGATGTTGAGTTATGTAAAGTCTGTCCTCAGATCATCAAATGCATAATCTCACTGCTACTTCTTCTGTTATAGCGAGAGAAATGTTGGGACACCTCTCACCCTATGTGTTTCTTTCTCGGTTCAACAAATATCTCTTACAAGGAATAACACCTTGACCTCTCTGCCACATTTCATATCTGGATTTGCAGTTCTGTCTCCGTGCCGAATTTACATACGATATCTGTAGCGTTCTCTAAATTCTAAAAAAATGGGCGGGGGTGTCACGGTTTTACCTAAAAGGCTAGATGTGCCATGTCACAAGTAACGCACCACAAAAGGAAGAATTTAGATAAAAAAATATAAATTCCAATATATGAAACAATCGCTTTACCTAGCCCATAGGACCTCACATGATCTTCATGAAGGTTTCTTGGTTCCTCCAAAAGTTCTCTCTTTGTCTCTGAAGAGGAAAAAAAGGCAAAGATGAGTGTTGTGGCCAATTTTTAATTTCCTGAATTTCTTTCATTTCAGTTTCAATTAGGTCAAGGTCGCTAGCATCGTTCCGACTCTCAGATCACACATCTCTGCTTTTCTACCAGTTGTTTTTCATCGCAGTAACTAATTTTAATTTGTGGATCCAGGGGCGGGTTTCGAGCGTACTAGAATATCCCTGAGGGAGACGGAAGGCAACCAACTATCTACTAGGAGTATTCATTCGTTTATTTATTTGAGACAGGTTGGCCCTGTTCAGTTTTTTAAACTAGTTTAAATAGAGGCCTTCATAAAACAGTAACAAGGCCAGTTGATAACACCGGGAGCTACGTTCCTTATTCTTTTCGAGAAGTTCGTGGGTTCTTAAACGTGACCTGCTAACTAGTACAAAGAAGATGCAGGAGACGGGCCTCCAGTTCATCACACTCATTTGAAAGTACTAGAATGTCTAATCATCTGCGAATGTCATAGCAAAGGTAGCACATTCTCCTCAATTATCTTAATACCCTGAGTGATGGTCCGGTGAAAATGTAGATCAACAATCTATTCACCTTTTTCGGGAGTCTGGGAATCCATCTCGGGAAATGCCCTTGAATTCTCGAAAACTTCTTTGCCTTCATCTAAGGAAAGAGACAACCATGTTTAAGAATCTATAAGATGGAATCCAAAGACTTGGAATCCAAAGACTTGGATTAAAGCATTAGTCTTCAGGGATGAAAACTAAACTCTAACTGAACGACGATGGAGGACAACGTGTCAGCAACAATAGGTGGCTAAGGCAGTTGGCACACCTTTTCATAGTAAGTGGTCGACAACCCTCCACTCAACATGATAAACAGAAATCTTGCAACTCATTTCTAATGCGTTACTTCAAAGTCCCCCGCCTCCCTCTCCCCCAAAGAACGTTGCCTAATGTTGCAAGAAATTAGTGACCACACCAGACTACATTGAAGTAGGGAAGAGGAGGAGAGAAAAATGAGAGTTATAGAGAAAAAATTACAAAAGGAATAGAGCGGCCGAGACTAATGTTACTTGTAAGTTTCTTTTTGAAAACAAAACCTAGCTAGTTGTGGTAATTCCGTTACTGTGTCTGAAGAGCTTTAATGGTAAAGTTCCGATGTGAAAACTTTAGAAAATAACTTGAAACACAAAATGCTTATATTTAGTCACCTCTAGTTTCTATCGAAGACTGCACGGTACAAGCTCTTTGAAATCTTGCGGAAATATTGTTCTGTATTAAATTGGCTGGAATTATTTGTTTTCTTTAATATTGCTTTACTTGGTACTTCGGGGACAAGATGTCTCTCCTGAGATGTTAGCCACTCTGGAAACCAATTCTTTTTTTTTTTTTTTTTAACTTTTTCCAAGGGTTTTATCAAAATTGAGAGCATACGGCTAGGAAAAGAGAGGAAAGGAACCGCTAACATCTCCTAGATATCCCTCAGCTTATTCATCAATGTGTATTGATTCGCAAGTCATCTTTCATCATCCCTGTTACTTTTGGGAACTCGCAAAAGGGAAGCGATTTTCCTTGAAAAAGATGCGAGACCACTCTTTGTCTACCAAATGTCTTCTTGCCAATGCATGTACTTACCTCCATCACGCAATCGGAAATTCTGCGAAGGAAATTCCTTTGAATTTTCGAAATCCTGGAGGGGCATTTCTGAAGAGAAAAAATTAAGTTTACTTACTCATTCAACAGCATCAGAGGGAAATTACTGAAAAGGAAAACAAACTATCGGGTGCCAAGAACTTCAGAAGCATCTTTTAATAACTGCTGATTCAAGTATAAACAGGAAAGAGCAAAAGCTGTTATAAGTAAGTGACTTTATTACGTGATCTTTGTAAACTTGTGTAGTCTCGAACCCTTGCAATTCACAACTGATTACTTCCTCTAGAAAGGAGATATTTTATTATATCTCCGTAGTTATGCAACCGAAACATTCCCATCAATGCACGCATGCGCGCCGCTGTCAAACCAGGCTATCGTTCTTTTTCAAAAGGTATTGAGAGCAAACTTACCAAACCCTTCCTCGATGTTTTCCACTATTCCATCGTCTTCGTCATTTTCCTCGCGGTCACTCGGAAAATCTTGAAAAAAAAACCCCTAAATTCATTATTCATATTCTCCATACGGTTCTCCATGTATTTTCTAAGGTGTTTACAATGAAAATTTATTTAACAATCGATAGCTTTTTTAGTTGGAGATCATTTGCTTAATTCTCGTGACCTTTACGCGTGATTCATGGATGATTTGTATGGAAATTAGCTATTACTCACTTGAATTGACTACGGTTAGTTCTGGAGTTTGGAAGGGTTTAAGCGGAATAGCCTATAGCTAGGTAAAGAATAATTTGAATGAAACTTACAGTTATATCGTCCAGTGTATTCTTGTTCTCCTGGATCTGCTTGGGGCTCGAAGAAATCAGCTGAAAATAAGGTAACCATTTGATAAGCTTAGCTTTGTTTTTTTTGATAACCGGACCCTTCGCAGCAAACCTTCGCACCAGTCAAGAATCTGTTTTTGAAAAATAAATGAACTAAGAACGAGTTGAGAGGTTTGCCGTTTAATTTTGTGGCAGCCATTTTAAATATGCTTGTGCAAAAGTCCTGAACGAGTTGCGCGTGGGTCTGGGATGGTTAGAAGTTGTAAAAGAGATGGTCGTTTCGAGTGTTTGCCGAGAAGCATAGCTCCGAGCAGTTTCCGAAGAATTCCCTTTCATAGACTCTCGCAAATTAAAACCCGTTTTTTCGCACGCATTACTGTTTTTGAAATTGTTGCATCAAAACAAATTACTCGAGTTCTGTTCATCTTTGAGTCAGACAAAAATACTTATTAGAGACCAGTAATTACTAAGCATTTTAGGGGGGGATACATGGTTTGCGGGGGGAACGGAGGGAGGGTCAGTCGTCTCTTACAGTTTAAAAGGGGCAGTATAGAAATTTGACTGTCAATGAAAGGGTATCGTTAGAATACTACAGAGCCTCGGGGGAGGGGGGGAGGGGGCATGGAAACACTGCAGCAACAACTCCCCCCACCCCTTCAGATGATAAATAATGAACGGTCCCTCAGATGTGAGAGCTTCCTGTGGTCGTATAAAAACTCAATAACGAAACTTCTTTTTTAATGATAATAAAAAAAAGAACCATAATTGAATAAACAAATAACCAAATTTTGTACCTGCTACATAGCATTCCAGGAAACGTAGACTGACAACATACAACGCCAAAACTGCAAGGCTCTTCATTTTTAACTTAAAATGAAACAGTGAAAAATTAATATGACAGGATGGAGAAGATGTACAATGGTAAAGTGCTACAATATCACCAGCGAAAAATGGCCATACGTAAGAACTAGCATATGCATAGATTGGATTCGGATGAGTGCCTTGACGTTGTACCTCCATGAGGGAGAGGAGATGGTAACCACCCACTCCTTCCTCCTTCCTTTTTTTTGTCAAAGGGCAAGGAGTGTCTTTCTCTTTGTTATCTCACAAGTAAAACAGAGGTATCTAACAGGTTAAAAAACTCATACAATACTACAGCTTGACAGTCCAAACGGAAGCCAGGAATGGTAAAAGCTTTCAAAGAGAGATCTTAATTACTCCAGGCATAAGTCGTGTCTTGGGTGTCACACCTACTTGATACAGCGTGTCGTTCAAGCAAATGTCTTCGCCAACGAAATCTCTTCTTGAGAAAGTCCTCTTCTTAATCTCGGCTCCGAATCTTTATCTCAATCCTTACAGATACAAAATAAAAGAAGAGGACGTAGCACTGAAAAGTAGAAAGCCACTTACTTCGAACAACTTGCACAAGAATCTGTAGGCCGCTTAGATTTCCTTAAGTGGTCCGGACGAAACCGAACAACTTGTAAGCTATCAGGACTGTGTGCAGTTCTTTTATTTGATTAGAATGAAGATAATTAGATCTAGAAATAGATAATAAGTGGGAAAGCGCTTGAGGCTATGTAGGAAACTTCTGCTCAAGCTCCACGCCTGAACAGTAAGTGCTTTGACCTTAAGATTTCCTACGCGCCCTTTGCTCACTGACCAGAACGCTTGACGGGAAATCACTTTTGATAAACAAGTGCTTTAGCTGAGCAAAGATTGGGGCCGGAGAGCGCAAATTTGAAAGCTCATGGTCGAAAAGCTATGTTTTTCAGTGTCAATTTATGAACAGTCTATTCTTTAACATCATAAATAGTGGCAAAGGAAAGCTCAATTTCATCTTATCTCTGGTTAAGACTGAAATTAAAGTGAAAGATTTCGATGACGTGATACGAAGGAAGAACAATGCAAAT